GCTACTCCTGCTGCTGCTGGGGCTATGGGGCTTTGCGGCCCTCTCCTGAGTGAAACTCTCTTTGAGGGGATCCTGCTTCCGTCGGGAACACATGCGTTTCTTCACGCACCCTCTGAAGTATATAAATTATCATGTGAATTTAGCATTCTTTTTCGTTTTGTTTTCGACACCTCATTTTTTCTTTATGCTTTGCAAGACTTTTCTTTGGCCCACAATTACGCTCTCCTCCCGGGGCCAGCGCAGCGGGACCTGCATTTAGTGTCTTCCTTCTTTGTTTCTTTTTTGTATTACGCGTCCCTTAAAATGACGGTAATTTTTTTTTGGTCTACTTTTTTTTCCTGGCGGATTGATTCAGTGTTTTTCTTTATGGTTCACGGATTCAATTTTTTTCTTCGTTTGCTTTTTGTTTTTACGGATTTTTTGTGTGTTTCTTCTGCTGGCTGTTGTTTTGTCGCTTCAGTTTTGTCGGCGACGGCCGGGCGTGCGCCTCGCAGGGGGTTTTCTCTTTTTTTTTTCACGTCGGCACTTGGCGGGGAGGGGCGTGCGGCGCGGTGCCGGCGGAAGTCTGCGGGCCGTAGAAGTGCCGCGAAGAGGCACGAGGGAAAAAAAGAGCGAAAAGGCAACCAACTGCCCCCGTCGAGGGACGCTCTCGGCGTTGCGTGCGCCGCCGATGAGAAAACAAAAAAAAGAAAGAGGAATGCGATTCACGGCAGCGCAGAGTCTGTGCCGGTGCAGCAGCACAACAAACGATGCCCGGACGCCGAGACTTTTCAGGGGCAGAAAGGAACGCATCGTTTTTATTTTCATGGGGGAAAAAATGGGAACACAATTTTTTGGTCGATCGCACGTGGGTCTTTTGTGTGGTAGCAGAAAAAAAGCTTTTTGTTACTGCGTATATATATTTTCTTTTCTGAGCGAACGCACCGTCAATAGGGAATTAGTTGTTTTTTTTTCTTCATTTTTTTTTGGTCATATTTCCCACGATTTACCGCACCGCGTGTGCTGCGGCCCTCCCTTTTTCTCTTGCTGAATGTGGCTGCTTGTGTGTGTGTGTGTGTGTCGGTGTGACTATTTTTTTCGCCTCTCATTCTCCTTTTGGCTCGTGTTCGGTGTTCGGCTGCAGCTCAAGCCAACACCAACAAACCACTACAGAAAAAAAAAACAATCGATAAACAATGTACGGAACAAGCGAAGAATTTCACGCTTCTTCGGAGAGCTCCGCCTCTAATGTGCAGCGGGGACGGCGTCGCTCGAGGTCAGGGCTCGAAAGCAGCGTTCCCGGTCAGTACCGTGCACAGTTCCGAAGGTTGGAGAGGGCACCGCAGAGGGCAATGTGGACCCTTCACAGTGCTGTGGAGGACGTGCTGCTGGAGGGAGTAGATGTTACAGAACGAATGACGCTAAACGACTTCATCAGGAGGTACGTTGATCCCGATTTCGTGCTCGAAGGCCGCAATGTAATGATGGGGGTGTTTGCTCGTAGGCCTGAGGATTGCATCAGTGACGAGCGGCTCCTACGAAGA